CACGGTAAGAACATTTCTGATCTAGACAAACATGGTTTGCCCGAAGTCACAGAGCCCCTGTCCCCAAGACCAGGCTGTGGCTCCCACCCACAGCTCTCACTAGACCTTCCCTTTCCTATTGCAACTTGTGCTGTCTCTGGCTGTGCTTCTGGTAGCCACACATGGGTCATCTCACTGTCCTTAGAGACCTGTCCCCATGAGGCCTCTCAGATGCCATTGCTGACCAGTACAGACATGGTACAGACCCTAAACTTCAAGGAAACCACCATGCAATGCTGCTTGCTATGATAAAACAAGTTTGTTTCCTTCATGGGGCACCTGGGTGCTGCAGTGGGTTGTCTGACTCTTGGTTTTGGCTCAGGGCCTGATCTCAGGGTTGTGAGATCAAGCCCAGCTTTAGGCCTCATGCTCAGCGTGGAGTCTGCTTAGGATTCTCTCTTCTTCTTCCTCGCCACTCGCATGCACTCTATAAAATAAATATGTAAATCTTTAAAAAGTGAACTTGTTTCCTTCTGATAAGTGGGCAAAGATCTGTTTAATAAATAGATTGTTCATGTAGATACTTGATCTGATGAGACTAGCAGAGGAGTGCTTTGAAGAGCTGTGGAGCAGTTTCTCAGATAGGAAGTCCTGACAACCCAGAGAACAAAAGACCTATTAAGTAGGAGAAGAAGTTGAATTTTTGATACTTTGCAAGGGAAATACAACGCAAAAACCCATGGAGGTCAAGTCATTTTATGTTAGCAAGGACCGCGACTTCTATCTCCTCATTGACAGAACCACAAGGGAAATAGTTGTAGACACGTTATTATCAGCTAGTAGTTATCTACTGCTGTATAACAAATCTGGTAGCTTACACAATAAATCTTTAGTATCTCACACATTTTCTGAGGGTCGGAAATCTGAGAGTGCTTTAGCTGGGTGGTTCTACTTCAGGGTCTTTCATGAAGCTGCGGTCAACCTGTTGGCCAGAAGTTGTCATCTCTCCCAAGGTCTGGCTGGGCCTGGAAGATGTCCCTCGAGCTCACTCATGTGACTTGTTGGCAAGAGGCTTTGTTGCCTCTCCACGTGCACCACTCCATGAGCTGGTCACTGCACGGCTTCTCTTAGAGTGAGTGATTCAACAGGGAACCCTAACCTACTCTTGGAAGTGGCAAGTGCTCACTTGTTCCATATCTTCTTGGCCACATGGACTTGCCTGGTACAGTGAGGGCAAGGACTACAGAAGGGAGGCAGACACCCCTGGGGGCAATCTTGGAGGCTGGCTGCCACACCTACTGAAGGTGCTTTTTCTTGGGACCTCACAATTTCTAGCTACCCAATTGCTCATTCTTTTGTTTACACTACTCAAGTCTGACAGGGAACACATGAACCTCGTTAAAATGTGGAACAGTCTAAATATATTTTATAGAAGTTGCTGTAGATTATATTAGGATAAGTGGGAGTCAATTATTAAGGGTAATTGCTTCAATAAAATCATGAACAGCCAATTAAAGTCCTGAAGATAGAAAAATTTTTACCTATATATCCAATCATAAAAGATCTGAAAGAACTTACTATAGGGTGACTATGAAGTAAGGTTGAATTTTTATTCCCTCTTAAATACGATGAGAACAGGGACTCAAGGTGAAGAATGGGGTAGAGACACACAGGCTAGCTTAATGAAGAAGTAAAGTTTCCAGTTATATGTTCAATTTGATTTGAGTTTTCTGAGTTAAAACACTGCTCCTACAGTTTTCTGGGGTTTTTTTTTCCATAGATGCTGAGATTATTTTATAAGTTATTCAGATTTTGTATTTATAAGGCTTCCCTAGTTTTCAAGTAATTATCTACTCTTTGGGAGAATAAAGCAGCAAGGCTTACCAGTCAATGTGTTCAGTGGGTTGTAGCAAACAGATAAGAGGTGAGAAGGTGCTAGAAGGGGGAAAAAGTGATCATCAGGAGGGAAAGGTGGAACAAAGGTGGATGTGATAGAAATGAATTGGCAAGTTATAGTTTCAGCTTCTTTCTAAAAGGGATTGCAGCCTTTTTTAGCTGCCTAGCACCTTGGTGAATTTGGGGTGCGCTCATAGGAGGGCAGGCACTGGGAAGAAGTGAAAGGCTTCTGAGCCCCTCTGGGAGAGAAGGGGTAGTGATGGGGCGATGAAGGAAAGAGCACCCGCAGATGGTAGGAGGCCATGAAATCTGCCATGGTGCACAAGTCTTTGCTTGGTGCCCCACATTTTAGAACTGTTTGGTGTAAATGGATTTCTTGTGTACACACTGGAAAAGGAACTGAATTCTAGGCTGCTGCCGAGCAGAGCAGAGATGGGACTCCTGGGGACAGCTGCCGGGGACAAGGGGGGACCTTGACATAATGAGCCCAGGAATTAGTGGACATCATAGGGAGGACCTGGGTTGTCATTTGGTTGTGAAATTGGCCGTGAGTCTGAGCCAGTTATTCCCAGTTCTCCAAGGTGCAAGGAAGACCAACTAACCTCTCAGTTTGGGCAGTTTGGTGAGATTTTTGACATTTGATGTTTTGGGTTTGGGTGCAGAGCTAAGATGTCCTCTCCACGTGGACAAAACTCACACGTAAACACACAAACAAGCACCTGTATACATGCGCGCGCGCGCGCACACACACACACACACACACGCACGCACGCACACACTCCCCAGACACATTTCTGCTGTTCCAACACTGCCAATCTTTTGTTCTCATTTCAGATGAATGAGTTCAACCAATTTTGATCTTTCCTTTCATGTCATTGAATGGCGAGTTGCCACAGTATGTTGCTCTGCTTTCTCATAGAGAAGCATCACATTCTGTTGGTTCTGGGGTGCTTTTGTTTAGGAGAGTCACCTCCAAGGAGTCCAGTCATTTCTAGTGGGAAAATCATACTTGAAGTGCACCATCTTCAGGCCTGGGAAGAAACTCTTGAGGGGTGGGCTCTCGTCTCTCACACAGTCCAGTAGTCTTTCCCTGCCAGCTGGGTGCATCAGCAGGCATCTCTGAATTCCACATTTTTCAGAGCTCTTGCAGATAGAGAAATGGTTAAAGAGAAATTTCCTGAAGCTGCCCATGGCTATGAGGCGCCTCTCTGTTCCTTCAAATAAACCTGATAGACTGCGAGAGGCATTGGCCTCGCTGAACTTCAAATCGTTTAAACTGTTGATGGAAACACTGAAAGTACCATTACTCATTCTGATAACATTAAAGTATGTAAGTAACAATCCTGAGAGACTCTTTGAAAGATAAATTCCACAGCAGAGTTGGCCCGAGTTTCTAAACACTGCTGTCTCAACACTCCTATGATGGTAAAGTATATCAAAAGATCTAGAGTTAGAGGAGACCAGTAGCTCAACCAAGCCAGAAAGATTTTTAGAATTCCACTCTTGAATAAAGACGACTCAATAGTCTCCCAATAACCTACCCTGTTTTTAAAATATATCCAGATTGTTGTGAATTTCTTTCTAATTTAAACTAAAAACTTTTAGATATGTAAAATGCTACATCCCCCCCCACACACACACACATCTTATTTTTTCTTTATAAAGTTTAAATTCCTTGAGGTCTGGAATGAGTCTTAGAGTTCTCTCACATGTTTCACAGTGCCTGTTAAGATGTTGGGTGCAGCCATGAGTACTGTTTGGTTTCTTTTTTCTTTTTTTAAAGATTTTATTTATTTATTTGACAGAGACAGAGATAGGGAGAGCAGGACACAAGCAGGGGGAGTGGAAGAGGGAGAAGCAGGCTTCCTGCTGAGCAGGGAGCCCGATGCGGGGCTCGATCCTGGGACCATGTCCTGAGCCGAAGGCAGACGCTTAATGACTGAGCCACCCAGGCGCCCCTACTGTTTGGTTTCTTGTTTGAGCATATTTTCCCCAGGTCTCTAGCAGCGGACAAGAGATGATAGATGACCTCATGTAAAAACATGTTCCATAAAAAGATGATGTAATGTGTAATTAGATTCCACTGTCAGTTTTTCATCTTTTATGTATAGTGGCCATAGGTAAGGAGAGGAGGTAATTTGACTTCCTTGTTGAGACTGGGTTCTTGAAGCAACTATGAAAAAAAGTATTTTGGGGGAGTGTTGCATGCATATGTGTGTATATGTGTGTATGTGTGCACATGCATGTGTTTGGTATAATTGTGATGGGCAGAATAGGTTGAGTATATGATAGGGCAGAAAACCATCGGTAGCCATTAATATGGCTGACCCCTTATACAGATTATTCATTTAGTATTGATAACAATACCCTTTGCACAAAGATGTAGAGAGATTAAGGAATTTGCCCAAGGTCACACTGTTGGTAAGGGGAAAACCAGGATGCATCTAAAGCTCATGGTCTCTCTGCTATAACAGAGAATTCTTTAGCAGATGGTACGTCCTGATCGTTTGAAAGTCACCAACACTTTGAACCAAAAATCATATAAGTGATTAATGCTGGTTCATCCAGAGCTCTAATGATTGTAATATGTGTTCACGGATCTGTATTACCGCCATCCAAGGCTAGCTATCCGGTGGCACATGGAAAAAGCTCAGTTGCGGAGGCTTTGGACCCTGGCTTTTCCTGGTACTGCCTGTTGCCTTGGGTAAGGGAATCATCAGCGTCTCTGAGCCTCCGATAAGGCTCTGAGGAGTGCTTGGGATTGCATGTGCCAAATCCCTGCCCATGGAGCCTGGCTCCCACTTATGTGCCAGATACATATTAGGATTTTCAAACCATTCACACTGAGGAACCAGCAGTAACACTTGCTGCAGGAACGTGCACAGTTGCTTTAGGAGCTGGAGCTTCCAGGAAGTTACAGCTGCCAACTCACCCTCAGGGCACTGAAAGACCTGCCACCTGCAAGCAGTCAGGGAGGTTTTGCTGAGAAAGTCACCCACAAGGGAAGAAGAGTCTACTTAAGTTGAAATGTAACCATTTAGGGAGATGATGTGAACATTGGGAGGGGAGCATCATCAGAGATCTTTGAAATAGACAATGTGGTGAAAACTGTAGTCGGCGTCTGTTAACAGCACTGTTCATGAGTTTAGCTTATCAGGAACCTGGTTCCTGTGTCCTCACTGATAAAGAAAATCAGAGGCTTTTTAAAGAAACAGTGGCTTTTGTGTCTAGCAGAGACCTATTAAACAAATTGGTGTTCAGAGTTCAACTCTGTTGGTAGAAAGTGGGGGAAGAAAGAGCTTAAGTATGACTCGCTGATGGTAAGTGTCCTCGGGTTATTTTTTAAATACTTTTATCTCAAAGGGAATGACATTTTAAGGCAGAAAATTAGGTTAAAAAGAATAATTGCTAGCCATCTTTTTTTGTTGTTTATGGAAAAATAGTATTACCCATGGGAAAATCCAGTTAGAGATTGATGGAGTCTTTGGTAGTCTTGTTTGTATAATATGGAAATTTGGCCTCATCTGTTGGAAAGTTCTGGGAGAGGGTGGGAAAGCAAAGGGGCCTTGCTGTGGACACAGAGAGCGTGCATATTCCAGCTATTCTTTCTGGAGTCCCTGAAAATCCCAATGTGTTGGGGGAAAGAACTCAGAAAGTAAGGAGCTTCAGGGCAGTGGGGGTGAGGGAGAGGCGCGTGGTGTGGGAGAAGAAGTCAGCCATCAGGGAGAAGGAAACACAGGATGGAAAACAAGTGGAGGGTTTAAGGAGGAGGGCTGGGGTGAATAATTGATTTCAGTTCACATTTGTCATTGGTGCCTGCTCTGAGGCTCTTCTTGATGGCTCCATTCTCTTTCTCACTGAAGGCTGCCCGACCAAGGGTGTTGATCAAAACATGGCAGAGCTGGCCCCCAGAGCCTTACCCACTGAGCATCAGCATTTCCTAATAATTTCCTCCAGGAGCAGAGACATGGGAGGTGTGCTTCTCCATGGCTGCAACGGTTCTCTTACCAGCTCCTGAGGCCAAAATGTCCGTGTGTCGTTGTCCCCCGAATATCAGTATGAACATTGCTATCCCATTTCTGCTGTTCTCTGTAGAGAATTTGAGTCAGAAAGCCCTGGGGTTGTGCAGAATTGCATCTAATCCCTGCTCTTGCCCTTAGGTGATGCATGACTCTAGGCAATTCATCTAACTGCTTTCATTTTTGTATTCCTTACTCACAAAACCAGCATGTTAACCCTAATGCCAAACTCCAAGGGTGGTTTCTAAAGATGAAATGAATGCAGAGTATTTAGTTCAGTACCTCGCTGACAGTAAATGCTGAGTAACGTCAGTCCTCAGTGTTGTCATTATGTTTTTCCTTTCTGGCTCTGGGAACTCTTATGTCTGTGCCCTGCAGACTGGCTGTCGGGATGCTGATTTGGACTTTACAGAATCCCCATCAAGTCATCAGGTTCTCTGTGTTCTCAAACTGGTTGTTTCGATGAGGCGATTGGTCCCAAAGTATTTTCCTAACTGGCGCCTCTACTCTTGGAGACATGGGCCAATAGCTCAAGCGGGTCTGAGTGTCTGGTTTTCAGATATCTGCTTCTCCAGGAAGGGAGCTCTTCATCTATGTCCTTCCAAATACTCATCCTGGGATTGGGAGGGTCTTTCTTTCTCTGCTCACCCCATGCAGACTTCTCAGTTTTCCGTGAATGCAGAGATGGACAACTGCAAAGGAGAGAGTCTGCAAAGTTTTGGGTGACATTGGGATCCAAGAGCAAACGCACTGCTGTGAGTAGGCCCAAGGTGGGAGTCTACCAGCAGGAGTGAGGCTGAAACGGTGTGAGTGTAGCGGACGTGTGTGCACACGCATGTCATAGGGTCCTCGTTCAAGGTGAAGGGGAAGGTCCCTCTGGTCTGGAACAAAACTCTGACAGCAAACAAGTCCAGTTTCCAGAAAGAAAAAGGGAAAAGGGCCAGCCAGGTTATTTGGATTCTAAACAGGGGCCTTTAAATTTGTTTTTAAATTTTATTGTGGTAAAAATTCTTAATATGAGACCTACCGTTTTAACAAATTTGTAAGTGTGCCGACATTGTTAACTAAATGTTAACTAAAAGCACAGTACTGTAGAGCAGATCTCTAGAAATTATTCATCTTGCTTAACTGAAACCTTATGCTCGTTGGTTACCAACCCCCACCTTTTTCCCTCCCCTAAGCTCCAGGAAGCCACCATTCACTCTTTGATTCTATGTATTTGACTTTGCATCAGTGGAATCACGTAATATTTGTTCTTCTGTGACTGGTTTATTTCACTTAGCATAATGTCCTCAAGGTTCGGGCTGAATATCATTCCATGGTATGTATGTACTTCACTTTCTTTACCCATTTAACTCCCCATGGACTTACATTGTTTCCACACCCTGGCTATTGTGAAGAGTGCTGCAGTGAACATGGGAGGGCTAATATCTCTTTGAGATCCTGATGAATACTCAGAAGTGGGATTGCTGGATCACTCGTTCTATTTTCTGTTTTTAACTTGTTCAGGAACCTTCATGCTATCCTTAGCAACTGTCCCATTTTGCATTCCCTCCAGCAGTGTACAGGGTTCCAATTTCTCCACGTGCATACCAACGTTTATCTTTTGTTTCTTTGATAATAGCCACCCTGGCAGGTGCGAGGTGCTATCTCATTGTCGTTTGGGTTTACACTTCCTGGATGGTTAGCAATGTTGAGCATCTTTTCGTGTACCTGTTGGCCATCTGTGTGTCTTCTGGGGATAAATGTCTATTCAAGCCATTAGCCTATGCTTTAATTGGGTTGTTCTTTCTTTGCTATTGAATTGTAAGAGCTCCTTATGTATTGTAGAAATCAATTCCTTATGAGACATATAGTGTGCAAATGTTTTCCTCTATCCCATAGATTGTCATTTCTCTTGGTTGGTCATTTCCTTTGTTAATGGAGACATTTTTAGTTCAATGTAGTTCCTCTATTTTTCTCTTGATTTTTGTCTATTTTACTATGCTTTTGGTGTCTTATCCATGAAATCATTGCCAAGACCAATGTCATGAAGCTTTTCCCCTATATTTTCTTTTAGGAGTTTTGCTGAAAACTGGGTGCAGACTCAGGAGAGACTGGAGATGTGGGGTGATGAAAGGGAGCTGGGTCATGGTTGGGGAGGCTCCAGCCTGTGTGGGACACAATTGTCTTTAGTTCACTTGTAATAACATAGCAGAAGCAGCAACAATAATTATATACTGAGGGTGGGCTCTGGGCCAGCACCTAAGCCACGTGCTCTTCATCTACCATATATCCTGTTGTCCTTATGATAATTCTGTGAAGTAGGGGTGACCCAGCTCTGGCTGATTCAAATCCTGTGCATTCAACTCCTATGCCATGCCAATGCTGGTGAGAGCTTGGGCTCACTCTAGCAAGACTGCATATGAGCACAAAAAGGGTTGGGTTGAGTCTGTGGGGTTGGCTCTGGAGCCCTGTGTGGCTGAGCTCCAGGCGAAAGGGGACAGTGCCCCGATGGAAAAACAGAATAAAGATGGTATCCTCTACAGGGTAACTGAGATCTAAACAAGACCTTATAACTTATTCCCTGGGTGGATGGTTAACTTTGAATTTCAACAACCACAGACCCTATCCAAGGCCACTTATGACAACTTCCTTCAACGTGACTGAAGTGTGGGGGTTAGGTGCCCATTTGAGCCCACTGTAAGCTGGCAATCAAGACTTCTGTCCATGTCCCTCTCAGAAGCCTTGTGGTCAAGGTGCTGAAGGGACTGGGGATGAGCCACGGTGTACTGGAGTGTCCACACTCTTGGCCTCACTCGCCCAACTGAGGATCCCAGGACGGAGGCTTATCCCCGAGGAAAGGGAACGGGATGACGTGTATGGATCTGAGGTTGTTGGTCCCTCTCCCTGCTCCTCACACTTCTGGCCCACTCCCAGGACCAAATAGCGCTTTCTAAAGTCTTCTTCACCCCAAGTCCTTAGTTGGCCAGAAAACATCAGCCACTATCTGCTGGAAGCTTGGTTTACTATACACTGGTATATGAAGGCTTCAATTCACCATCTGAGCAGTAACCTTAAATGCTAAAAAACATCAGTCTCTTGACTCCTGCATTTAGGGGGGGGACAAGTTTCCTTGGGTTTTACTACTCCGTAGGAATGATAAGCAGAGAAGTAAAAACAAAGCGTTCAGTTGTGAATTCCCTCATCTTTTTTCTCTCCTTGTGCAGGACTCTGATAGATTCTGGCCTGGAATGTTGCAAAGTGCCTTATCTTCATTTTCATTTATTTTTTTGGCGGGGGGCATTGTTTCCGGGAAATTTAAGCATGTCACACCCAACAAGTCTCTGTTAGATCACTGCTGACATAAATACCAACTTTTAAAAGACATCAGGGAAATTACTTTTCAAAAGGTAAAACAAAAAAAATTAAGGTTTTCAAAAAGTGATCAACATTAAGCTTTATATAATGAAGACATTTTAAAGTAAATCATGGTGACCAAGCAAATCATCTTAGAATGACTTTGCCTCCTCTGTCGTTAAGGAGTATTTTGAACAAATCAGAGGTTGAATTCAAACCTGACTCCTTTTGGCTTTTTTTCTTTCACTGTCCTTTAGTATATGTGTGTTCCCACTTTGATTCTCCCTTTCTTCAATCTGTTAGTGATGGTTTGTGCCCCTGGCTTCTGAGCCAAATGCAGAGCTACTTCACCTACCTCCTATTTCTCCTTCTACCTTTATAATGAAAACATCCTTAAATATGGGATTCAATTCAGTAACAATCTATTTGGAGAGTAAATTAACCTTCATGCTTGCCTAACAATGTTTGTTCATTTGTTCATTCAAAAGCTATTTATTGAGGACCTGTAATAGGATACATAAGGGAACAAAATAGAAAAAAATATATATGTGATGCATAAGTCAAGGATTTTGTGTGTGAGAAGGTTATAAAAGTCATGGAAAAAAATAGAGCAGAATAGGGAGACTGGGAGTGTAGGGTTAGTTGAGGAGGAGGTAGACCCCATTAAGGAGAAAGTGAGGGAATGACCTGGACAGATGCCTGGTGGGAGGGAATCTCAGATAGAGGAGCCAGCTAGTGCAAATGCTCAGAGGTGGTGGCAGGTGTGGGGTGTTCAAGGAAGAGGGAGGAGAAAGGTGTGCATGGAGTGGAACGAGGGTAGGGAGCACGGAAGAACCTGAATCAGAGAGGTGTGAAGGGTGGCAGACCACGGAAGGGCCTTCTTGTCCATTACAAAGAATTTGGCTTTCATTGGATAAAAGGGAAGGCTTGAGGAGAAGGGTGATCGACAGGATCATGATGGT